CCCCCATCTCTGAACTGGCTTCATCACTCTGCTCTCCTCCCCACTGAGAGCTGGTGTGTGGGGACCGGACTTGCGCATCATCCAGGTGGGGCTGCACACTGGGGGTGATGGAGGGGATCCCGATTACCTGTACAGCGCTTTGAATAGGATGTCCAGGAAAGTGCTCTATAAGTGTATGCAATTATTATCATTAATTATTTGATCACCACGCTGTAGACTGTAGCACTGTCCTCAATGGAGACACAACGAAATTAATAAACAGCCCAACACTAGCAATAGCGTGGCATTTTTGAAGAAAATACTACAAAGGAGAAACGCGCGGCCATTGTCGGTGAATTCGGCATTCCCACGCAGGTCTGTAGAAAATTCCCATTCCTACTTTAACCCCTTCGGCGCCGGGAATTAATGGCACTTTCAGTCCACTGGCACCCGGCCAAGTCTCCCCGTGTCTCCATGGAAACGAGCCTGTGCTGGTGTGTTTACCATGGAGACTGTGCCCGGCAGCGCCTTGATCACTGTTACTACAGTATTAATAAGAGCCACCAGTGGGGAATCCGGAAGTTGGGATCTAATTACCTGCGGTTCCGTGCGGTAAGGTTATTGTTGTCTTTTATTTACTTTAACGTGGGTATAGACTCGTGTGGGCGGTGCCAAATCTAGCCAGTTCGCGCTACCAGTTCTGGGTCTGTCTGTGAGAGATTCACTCGGCACAGCATTAATGATGGCTAATTCAGAACCTTCTAATGCACGAGATTAGCTGGTCGTGCACAACTGATGAGCGATGTGGCGGGTTCGGGCAGAGGCGCTCCTAACCCCACGAACCGCGGCTCCGGCCCGCCGTCAGAGCGCCTCTCCGGACACCTGCTGTCGCCTCAACGCGAGCGGTGACCGATTCTTAGTTAGAATTAGTTTTAAATCTGGGTTAATAATCAGATTGATGTTTTTATTGTTATGTTTTACGATGCGTTCAGGGTCTTTGTCCTGTACTAGCTGGTAAAGAGGATATTATACAGCAGAGCTGTGGCGCGGAAAGAGGTTTTCTCTGTGATCCTGCTGCCGGTCATTGACGAGAAACCGGAGATGGGTGCGTGAAGACGCACAACTCTAGAGACTTGTCTATAAATATTATAATCCCTCGCCTTGTCTGAAGATTACTTAATTCAATTACTGAACAAATCACCGCTCGGAATTTCAGATTTATAGACCACGCAGACTATGGAAGCGCAACCTCCGTTATTCTATCGCTTTATTAAACCCTGCGTGCGGTATCCACAGCGGTGGGACGTGTTGTTCACCGGCAGGACACACACAGAGGCTCTCCCCGCCGCCGAGATACTCTCACACGGGCTGGAGTCTCCTCTCAGCAGAATGCGTTTTGAGCTCCATTTGTGCAACTTGATCTGATTTGTCACGGCTCATCGCGCCTCTTGGCGCGCACGAGCAGTACCGCGAGCGGCTTAGCCTGCGGAGGTAATAAGGCGTTAAGCTCGGGGATAAATTCATTTGCGATCGGAGCAATTACACTGTACTCGACGGAATCCTCGCCACAAAACAAGATACAAATTACTGTTCAGTTTGCTGCTGCTGCTACTCTATACCTGATCCTCAACAGTTGGGCAATAGAGGAACAATCGCACCGCCTCCTGTGCAGAGATCGGTCTTCTTTATTAATTATTAATATCTGTTAAAAGTCTTTTAAATAATTCAAGCTTAACAAAACCTGAACAACAAATCCTTGCTGTTTCGTGTTTTAATTTTCGGTTTGTTTTGTTTGATCTTGGTGGCGCTGTTGGCTGGCGGTCAGGGTGCAGCTGTTACAGATGGGGCACTATGGGAGCTCCCACCCAGGCCAGTGAAAGGGGTTGGAGGGCATCCTGGACTCCAGTCCCTGCAATGCTCTGCAGGAAGGTCATGTTGTTTCATGCTGAAGAAGGCTGCAGGTCCTGCTGAAGAGCCTGAGGGAGTCAGCAGGTGTAGGCCACAGGGCTCCGTGTGCCCGCTGTGCCAGCTATGCCAGAGCCCCTGAGAGAGAAGATTCTTACCACCTGGTTTATTAAGGAATGCAGTTTTCACACGCAACCTGTTTCTCCTGCAACTAAAAAAAAAGTCGATTAAAATAATGTCCCCATTCCTAGTCCCAGGCTGGAGTTGAGTATGCGTGAGTGGGTTTTCTGGAACTTGCTCAATTTTCAGAAGATGAAGACTACTTAACTCGGGACAGTTTTATGCTTTTCCTCCTTTTTGACCTGGAAAACCTGCTTAGCTCCTTTTGCATTCAGTTAGCATTGCGCCCGAGCCCCTGAGCGCTGGGATTCTGCTGGGCTTCAGGGTGGGGGCCCGCCGAGACAAACCCTCTAGGTGCTGTGGGGTCGTTGCAGTTTTCTCCCCACTGTGGGAATAAAGCACCCCCCCCACCCCCTGCCAGCTCACAGTAGTCATAGATTTCCCAGGAGATCTGAACAGTGGCGAGTCGTCAGGCTGCAAAAGCTTGCTTCCATTCTGCACAGGCTGTGTTTTCAGTGCTGCACATGCTGTGCTGTCAGTAAACACCAGCAGTTGCCTTTCATCAAGCATATGACACTTTTTATTTTTCTGTGGTGCTGGCATTGTCGTGCTGTAATTGCGCTGTCCTGCTGGCAGGCTGCAAACAGAGCTGCAAGACCCCTTTTGAAACAGGCAGGGGAGGGGAGAGGGGTTACAGTTGTCTGCAGGCCTGAGTTTAGATACCTGTGGTGTCTGGCTGACTCTGACCAACGCCAAGCTGACGCCAGACCAGGTCTCTGCGGGCTCTCAGGGTGGCTGACCAGCATGGTCAGGACGTTAGTGGACTGAGAGCCGCCCCAGCCTTCACTCAGAAATGAGTTGCTACCTACACATCCCCTTCTGGGTGTGTTATGCAAAATGCAAGGCAAGGTACTGGCTGCGCTCTTTTCTCTGGCTTCGGTTTGACCTGTTACTTGAATTATAATCCCTCTGAGACATTGGTTTTATTGCTTTTAAGAGGGAGTTTAATCCTTTGCCATATGTCATATGTCATATGTGAAGAGGTGAGTTGAAACAGGTTGTAGACCTGTTGTTTAGGAGAGTCCCAGTCCTTTGGACTTTCAAACGGGGCCCAGAGATCTTGTTAATCTCAGATAATTAGGCCACTTGTTGTTTGTAAGTACAAGCAAGGTTTGTGATGAAACATTTGTAGCTTTCCTGGACCTGGGTTAGAGCCCTTATGAAAGAGATGAGAGCCCTGTTTTATTTTGTCTTGCAGATCCTCCAAGCTGGATAAGATGCACAGAACCACCCGGATCAAAATCACAGAGCTGAACCCTCACCTCATGTGTGCCCTCTGCGGCGGCTACTTCATTGATGCCACAACCATCGTGGAGTGTCTGCATTCCTGTATGTGTCCTGAGTCCTTCTGCTGCACACTCGTACAGGCATGATCCTGTCTCACACACACACACTCCCATCACAGTGTGATCCTGTCTCACACACACACATTCCCATCACAGTGTGAACCTGTCTCACACACACACACACACACACACACACACACCCAAAAGGCCGAACCCGGCCAAAAAAAAACGGCCAAACAACAAAGCATGTTGTCACCAGTCATGCTGGAGATTCTCCTAAAACATTATTGAACATCTAATGATCAGGGCCACAGGTTATTTCCAATTCTTTAGAAAGTGCATGTCCCTCCTGAAAGTATTTAATTATAAATGGGATACTGGCTAAGCCTGAATTTCTAGCAGCTTTTCCAGAGTCCCCCATCTGTGAAATTCTTATCATATAGTATTGACAAACCTTTCATGTATTTCATTTAATCATCGCTCCACTGGCCTGTATGACAACACCTTGAAGCCCTAACTCTCCTGGGAGGAAGCGATGGTAGAGAGGATTTCTTGCAGTAATTAATTTTGTGCAGGTGTTCAGAATTAACTGCATAGGTGTGGTCTTTCCTGTGTTGGCAGGGGGGATCTGTTACCTGTCAAGAGAATCACATTAGGAAAAAAAAATCATTTTTTTGGTGCTTTCTTGGCTCAGAAATTGACCCTCTCTCTGTCTGTCCACAGTCTGCAAAACGTGCATTGTGGGATACCTGGAGACCAACAAATACTGCCCCATGTGTGATGTACAGGTGCACAAAACCAGGCCCCTCCTGAGCATCAGGTAAGCGCACCTGCTGTGCAGGCGAGCAGGTGCAGGTCTGTCTGCAGGCACCCAGGAGAAAGGCTGTCTGTGCTGTAGGATCTTGAAATCTTCCCAGGATTTTGACTCAGCATACATCTTATCCATCCCATGGCACATTTCGCTTCCTGCTAGCTCCCTAATTACTTAATTGATAATTAGCAGGAGCAGCGTGACACTGGAGGTGGTGACTGTTAAAGAGTGCAGTGTAGTGGATAAGGAGGACCACACATTTGTGTCAAGGTTTTGTACTGATCTAGTGAGAGAGAGGTTCTCAGCAGTGATAATCCATGAGCACTGTCTATTAAATAGAGAACGAGAGAGGAGCAGCTCAGTTCTGCAGTGCTCTGGGAATGACTTGAGAGGAGACAGACCCTGCTCCTGTCTTCTCAGATTTACATATCTCCGTTATCCAAGTCATCTTTTATTGTTAAAACTTTTCACTAACCTGTATATTCACATCCTGGGTGTGCTCTGCATGTTAAATATATTTTAATTTGTTTTCCCATTTCTCTCTGAAGGTCTGATAAAACCCTGCAGGATATTGTATACAAGCTGGTCCCTGGACTCTTCAAAGGTGAGGTGGTCACTGCCCAACTCTGTCCCTCAGATGCCCGCTGTGATTAAGAGAATTAAAAACTCGCTGATCTCCTGGCTCCGTCACTCATCCCTTGTATGCATGACATCACACTCTCTTTGACATTAAATTCCTTGAAGCCAAATAGTGACACAACAGAAATCTTACTGGTGGGCTGCAAATGCCAGTGATGGTGGGTGGCTTCCTCATTCATGCGTCAGCAATAGTGAGGAAATAGAGAGTCACAATTTGATCCTCTCCTATCTTTTGAGTCCCATGTGAAACAAATGGTTTCTCCTTAATTCTCCTTAGAAATATTGCCCATATAAGGCAATTTCTTTCCATTTCTGGGTGCTTGATTCATGCATTTATAACATTCCCTCAATCTCTTCTCAGTAAGCTGCAATATGTCCAAAACAATGTGTCCAAAACATATGAAGTCACATTTTCAATATAACTAGCTTCAAACAATTTGGCTCCCTCAAACATCCTCCATGTCTACACTTGCTTGTGCTGCTACTTTCCTGCCCTCTGACCCTTCTTACCATAAGAATACAAACAGGCAAAAGCACCCTGAGCTCTGCAGAATCTGAGACTTTGCAGTAACAAATTATTGCGTGATGGTGAGGTGCCTGTGGCAGTTCTGGATCACCTGCAGCATGTAAAGAAAGTCTGCACCAGACTGAAGCCAGCAAAACGGGTCCTGTTAAACCTGTGACCACAGGCAGGCTTCTCAGATTTGTGCTTTGTGTTCAAGCGCAGCTCCCCTGTGTCTGCGGTATGAGAGCAGGCGTGTTGCGCTGTCGCGTGTGCGGGGCAGCCGTGTTCCCTGTGTGACTCCGTGTCTGTCTCGCTCTGCTCACAGATGAGATGAAGAGGAGGCGGGACTTCTATGCAGCAAACCCAACAGCAGACAGTAGGTGTCGCTCTTCCTCCTTCTCTTTGTTAGTATAGGACAGAATATGCATAGAGAACATAAGAATATAAGGACTGATATAAATGAAAGAATGCCTCTCAGGTCCTTTTACTGATTTGGTTGTTTGTAGTTTTTTGATCCCAGAAACTCATCCAGCTATTTTCGCTGAAGATCACGGGGAGTGAGTGTAAGCACCACAGCTGGATAGTCACAGACAGCCTCGTGGCTCTCCATCTGAAGAAGAACCTCCAGTTCTCGGTTTTAAATGTATTTACTCTGAGCTTCCACTTGGGCACCTGGGTACGTGTGTCAGGGGAGAGACTGACGTAGCCCAGCGGGTCGATCTTGAGCGTCGCCAAGAGCAGGTTGTGATTGAACATCTGGATCTCAGTGGGACGGGACTCTGCTGGTGAGCTCCTCTGTCAAGACGGCTAGAGAGTCCTGCAGCCCAAAGATCAAGGATACAATGAGATCTGAGATCTGTTTCCAGCGTCACTGGAAACAGCGCCCCAGCTGTTTCTAGAATACTGTACCCAAGAGCACCTTGGGCAGAGATTGTACTCTCCTCCCCTGTGATGTTTTCTGACCTGTGGTCTCCCTGTGTCCTGTCAGCGGCCAACGGCTCCAATGAAGACCGGGGGGAGGTGCAGGAGGAGGAGAAGAGGATCATTGCGGATGACGAGATCATCAGCCTGTCGATCGAGTTCCACGAGGGCACCAGGTGAGAGGGCAGGGGTCCCGCCATGCTGGCCCCTGGGCACCAGCTCTTTCCGGAGCCCCACAGGAGAGTGACCGACTCGGGTAGCCTCATCCCAGCCTTTTGTAGAGGTGATAGAGTTGATAATATACCGAGTGCAGCTCTCAGCTGTCACAGGTAATTGTGTCATCTCTGCACTTCTCTCGTTTGCAGAAACGAAAAGAAACTCCATGAGTCCAGAGAGTCAGACAAAGAAAAGGTGAGTGAATGTATCCTGATTGACCAAGAGTATTTTTCTTCATTGTTGTATGTGAAAACATTTAACTATTAATATGTAAAGCATTGCTACTCTATCCAAATGTAAAGATCTTACTGATAATGTGAATTATTGTGCTTTTGAGTGAGGTATTACACCTGAACTGTTCCAGTAAATACTGAAATTAATTAATGGGTGCAAATGTAATCTTGTGGCTGAAAAAAAAATATCAGCCAAACATATAAATATGTATCATAGGTGAACTGCTACCAGGTACCAGGAAAAAGCATTTTAATATCACATTGCAACATTCATATTTTTTGGAACATCTCTGTTTGCATCTGTGTCTGCAGACAGCTCTGACCTCTGTGCTGTTTCCTCTGTAAAGTTAACCTTGTGTGTTTCTTTCCCATCAGGGTAACAACAAGCGCTTCTTGCGCTGTCCAGCAGCCATGACAGTCATGCACTTGGCCAAGTTCCTGCGCAGCAAGATGGACATTCCCAGCAACTACCGGGTACGTCTCGTTAGCAGGCTGGGGCCGGCCCAGCGCATTTTCACATAGAGCACTGCAGTGGGCCAATAACAATGCCCACCTGCCTGATAGACCACTGTGACATGCAGGTACAGTGAGCTCATGTATGTGATAGTGTGAGAGTCCATTCCCAGTCCAATGATGTTAGTAATTACATTGCAGTTAATGGGTAAAGACTTGTGGTTTCACACTTGTATCTGTACTGAATTCAGCACTGTGTCAGCTGTACCATTGTTATAACATGTAAACATGCAAAACAAATCCTAGTTTGGCTCTGACCCAGTCAGTGCCCTGTGCAGCAGCATGTCAGTAACAGTTCAAATAAGTAGCTGTGTCAGCATGCATAGGCTGCAAAGAAAAAGGGTTTATTCAAAGCTGAAAAGAAAAGAGACGCAATGTTTCAGCTGTGAAAGAAGGCTCCACAGCCGAAACATTGTCTCTTTTCTTTTCAGCATTGAATAAACCTTTACTTGCTCCACGTCAGTAACAGTGCTAACCGTGATAACCACTGGTAACTAGCCAACTGTCTGCGCTGCTGTGTGATTGAAGTCTCCTGTTCATAGAACTTGTCTTGTTTCTGTTGCAGATTGAGGTGCTGTATGAAGACGAGCCCTTAAAAGACTATTACACACTCATGGACATTGCCTACATTTACACATGGAGACGGGTGAGTTCTGTTCTCTTCTAAGCCTAATTTCCTTGTAGAACAATAATGAACAAGCCACAAGCAGAAAGCACAGCTGGGTCTCCTAGTAGGGTAGTATGTATCATCACACTTATTAGTAGCCTATTTCAAATGTGCATTTTTAACTGTATTGTTTATTATTGTGTGTGTGCTCTGGTTTGCAACCTAAGTCATCCTGCCTGAGAACCTGCTAAATGAATAAAAATGCCCTTGCACAACATGCAGCCCTGGCGCTGGGCCCGTTTGCACTGGAGAGTACACACTCTAGCACAAGTGGTGTTGTGTCTGTAATATTAATACAGCTTTCCTCTGGGAATGATCACCTCCATTCCTCTTGAAGGGCTGGGTTTAGAGGACATGTAGCTTTTAAGTTCAAACCACACGTGCAGCAGACCTGGAGAATCAATCAGGGCTCAGGTCCAAGGTGCTCCTCCTGTTCCCAAGTGAAGGAGATTCTAGCTCCTGCTGCCAAGGGAGCCCTTCAAGTATGCTGTTCCAGACAAGCTTCTTTTTCAGCTGTTCAGTTTCCTACTAGAAGGAAGTACGAAAACATCTGTAATATTGTGTGTGCTGTAATATTGTTAGAATATCATCAGACCAGTGGAGGCCCTGTTATTGTCCCCAGTACAGCAGAGAGCATGATTGCATCAATCAAAGCAAAAGGTCTGCAAAGCCAATTAGACATGACAATTATTAGACATTGCAGAAGCATGTGGTCCCAGTATGGGAAACAGATAACCCTGAAGGCCTGGGCAGTGTCCGTCTGCTGCAGTGCTGTGGACTGAGGTGGCTGTGGTCAGCGTGGGGTGGAATCTGACCTGTGCCTCTGTTGATCAGAGCACACTGCAGGTTCGTCCAGCTGCGGTGCTCCTCTTGGACTCAGGAGGTGTCGGGAACAAACCAGTCAGCCAGAAGGTAATGGATTCCCTGGGGTCGTCTGAGGAAAGACTGGCCCGGGGCTGGTGTGGGGGTCTCCACTCGTGC